CGTACGAGTATTTGAATTTGCGACCTGTTTCAAAGAATGAACGTGTATAACTGCCCCCAGATTCCATCGCTCCATTACGCGCCCATTTTTCACCCGAGAACGTATCAGCGACTTCGAAATCTATGAGCGCAATTGTGATCTGTCTCTCAAAGAAGCCCGAAACCGTTTGGCAGAGGGTTATTCTATCGATTTCCAGGTAATTCAATTTGCATACGCACACACCGTCCCCGACTCGCCTCTAACCCGAATATGACATCCAGGATCTTGTCGCGCGTTTTACACTAGACTCGGCTACGGAGTTCCTATTTGGCACCAACGTTGGTTCCCTCTCCGCCGGTATACCCTACCCACCGCTATCAGCCGCAGAAAACTCGGCTTCCTTCTACAACCATCCCTCTAATGTCTTCGTTAAAGCCTTCCTGGAAGGCCAAGTTCTCTCAGCGCTGCGCACAAGTTTGGGTGCCGACTGGCCAGCGTTGGGCGGTGACTTTTGGAAGAACCAAGTGTCGCCTATGCGCAAGATTATGGACGAGTTTACGGAGCCGTTGATGAAAGAGGCTTTGTCCGCGCGGGAGAAGAGACTCTTGGAGAAAAATAGAAAGAGCCAGGAAGGAGACGAAACGACATTGCTGGAACATCTTATTAACCGCACTCAAGACCCTGCGGTTCTGAAGGATGAGGTAACCATGTCGTCACTTAATAATTTATATGGGCCCTGACCGAATTTTTGTGCAGCTTGTCAACCTACTCGTGGCTGGCCGCGATACTGTACGCCGTAAAAACTATGTCTGCATCTGAATTTCTGACTTCAATATCCTTTTGCAGACAATGTGTCTCTTGACTTTCTCGTTCTACATGCTAGCAGAACATCCAGACATCGAACGCCGTCTTCGGCACGAAATATTTGAAACGGTCGGACCGTCAGGAACTCCTACCTACGACCAAATGCGAGATATGAAGTTCATGAGAGCCTTCCTCAACGGTATATCTGTCTCTACTTATTGAAGTCATAGTTTTATGAGGCTAATAAATTTAATAGAGGTGTTGCGACTTTATCCTCCTGTGTACGTGGATTTACATACCACTCGATGAATCAACATTTAAGCTCATCCTCTCTAACCTCATGACTTAGCCCACTTAACATGAGGTATGCTTGCTCTTAGCGCTAATATCCAAATTTTAGATGTTAAATTGTATTTCAGAGCCAGTAAAGAACCAGTCATTTTACCAAATGCGGACGACAGCCAAAAACCATTCTACATCCCGGCTGGCACTCAGTAAGCACCTCCTACCGTCCTCTGACCTCTCGCTCTAAACTCTTTCGAAGGATCTTCTACACGGTCATCAACATCCACCGCCGCACCGACCTATGGGGACCCGACGGTATCGTGTTCTGTCTTAAACCTCCCAAAACACAACACTCACATTTCCCACTCTGCACCACTATAACCTACGCTCTATCCAGCGCTGACATTCGACCCTGACCGCTTCCTCGACGCCCGCCTGCACAAATACCTCACGCCAAACCCGTACATCTTCTGCCCCTTCAACGCCGGCCCGCGGATCTGCCTCGGCAGCAGTTCGCGTACCACGAGGCGACGTTCTACCTCGTGCGGCTGTTGCAGCAGTTCACTGCGTTTAAGCTGGACGAGGAGACGAACGTGCCGCCCCGGAGGAGTGGAAGGCTTGTAAAGGCCTGAAGGCTACTGAGAAGGTGTATCCGATGTCGCATTTGACTATGTACATCAAGGTGCGTGCTTATTGGATGGTAGTGGATCCATTCACAGCGTAGGTAATATTGACCTCTTTTTTCTCTGTTTCAGGGCGGTCTTTGGGTTACGATGAAAGAGCTCAATGGAAGTGAGGTTTGATGTTTGACAAGATTCAACGATTAAACTAGCACACGATCAAATCATGAAGATATTTGACGAGTCATTTATATCCACATCTCAAGTTATACCCACCCAACTTTATCTACATCTCGTTGATTTAGGACTGTATTAGTTATTCTCAGAACTTATGATGCCATTGCCCACTTATGTGTGTCTGCTAAAACCGACGGGGAGTCCCCATCGAGTCACAGACAGTCTAGCTCATCAACCCGCTTAAGCTCAGGGAACATTTGACTCGACACTCGCCGTGATGACGATGACACGGTTGGAGGTTATGAACAGACATGCAGCTACATGTGTATGAGGGGATGGAAGATGTTTTGGTTCATGCACATTGTTCGAGATAGATGGAATCACATATTTATGTGCAATACCTGTATCCGGTGTCGAAGAAATGATGATGAGCGGCAGCAAGGTTGAGCGATAAGTGGGTGATTCTACCTGCGCTCGCCGAAGTCACCCAGACCGGGGATGATGTAGGCTTTGTCGTTGAGGCCTTGGTCAATCCATCCAGTGATCTGTACACCATGTGAGTCTAGAGAAATCGAATTATAGTTCGATAGCAGTGACATACTACTTTCAGAGATGGGAATCGTGTGCAGAATGTCGTGAGTCCTTCCGGCGCGGCAATCTATCAATCAGAGATGAGCGTGTAGTTCGTCATGGGTCGATAGAGGAACTAAGAAACGGACCAGGTTGATGAAAATGATTCGCTCTTCAGGAACCCCGTGCTCCATCAGCACTTCAACGGCCTTCATAGCAGATCCTCCGGTTGCTGAATTCATTCTTCAACATTATAGTTTTGGTCGCACAGCGGATTAGGAGGCATACCAAGCATTGGGTCGAGTAGAAGCACATAACGAGATGCAATATCTTGGGGGAACTAAGAGGAGCGGACGATTAGAGAAGAAAACATAGGTACATTGACTGCTACACACCTTCGAGTAGAACAACTTGGGCAAAGTTGTCTCTTCATCCTACGCCAGCATGTCTTCATCGGGGATCTGTCCGGACAAATTTTATAGACAACATACCCGCTGAATCAAAATCTTCCCAATCCGCACACTTCTACACACCTCGCGAAGACCCGCTTCCATAGCCTGTGGATATGGTAAGATGCGTACGAAGGGGCGTATGATGGATCAATACCTCTCCTGCCCTCAAAATTGACACGCCACAGATTTTGCCCTCGAAGCCCACTCCATTGTATACAGCACCCTATGATATAACAATTTTTCGTTAACAGCTCATCTCGTACAACACTGAGTACTGAGAGTTGGCCGGTCGACCCCGCTGCCATTTCGAGAGGTGAGGAACTCACAGTAGGCGTCTCCACCGTCCTAGCCACAACTGGGAGATGGTTCAGCCCTTCCTCCACAAGCAGCCTAATGATGCGATCTGAATAGAACAAGAAGTCTCCTCGCGATGTCTCCTTGTTTCTGATGATAGTGTACAAAGCTTCGAGCTGCGCCGTCTGTGGCAAAGTGAAAACGGACGGTGGCAGGGGATCGAGATGCGCAAGATTAGAGTTGACGGTCTGAGCGGGTTGGGGAGGCGCCAGGGGGGCGCTGGATGTGGGGGATGCCATGGACAGGTAAGATTGGGAGCTAGCCAGCTACAGTGAAGAGCCAGAGGTTATAAATGTACACAACAGGGCGATCGCGTGCGTGTTAGCTCTGATTACGTCCACGTGGATTTGCCTAAAAAGACCGATTACGATCTACAGGGCAGCGCATATCAGCGCTTCTGTCAGGCAAAAGATAGGGGACGATAACACTGACTTGTACAAATAGTATGTAGGGTTGATGTAGGGTGGACTGAAGAAGTTTATTGCAATTTCAGAACGAAGCATCCTTGAGATGTAATTTGTACATGAATAATTTACAGAGGGCATCTTACCGAAGATGTCAAGTGAAGCGAGAATCCAATCCACAATTCGAGATTTCATTACTGTTTTGAACACCCTTTCTTGCGATCAATTATGAGTACGAGACCTGGACGTCTGGACCTGCCTCCAGACCGGCAAGGCAACTGCATTGCGATATTTTACCCTCATATACGCGAAAATGTAACTAAGAGAAGCAGACCATTCGCCGCGCTATGCTTCATGTTTTAAATTATTCATCATATCAACCCATCGGAGTCTGCCTACGGGACGCTATGTAGTTTGCGGCCAAGAAAAGCGAGAACGAGGCTGGTTTTCGTCGGCAATCTGCATGCTAGATGCCTCAAGTAGATTACATAGATAAGATTGAGTTAAATAAGCGCCCAAAATATGTCAGAGAGCGGGGCTACATAGAATTACATTGGAATCTACAGCTATCTACAGACTACAGATTTAATTTCAATCATATATTATATTAGGGTTCGAAAGTGTCAACATTTTTTATCTTAGGAGTTGTACGTGAGTGCGATAATTGTCAGTATGGCAAAACAAGCGCTAGCGACCAGAGCATACTCGTTAGAAGCTGGAGACTTGTATGCTTGGGCTTGCAGTCCATTACTTATACATTTTCGATGAGGGGATGTATGGCGAGATCCACTGAACGCATGCATTAATGGGGTAGTGGTAACCTGGGTCGTTGCCATTGAGTGATAGAAACTCGACCCGCCGGGGGTTCGATTCCCTCTTAATGCACTGGAGCTAATCGAACGTTTTACTCTGGCCTCTGTTTTAAGTTTTGCAGGAGTAATTTGCAAAATTGCAAGTATATACCATATACTACAGTCTACAGCTACTGTTACAATGACATACATACAATGACAACCAACGTTAACCGACTAATGATTCGTAGTACATACAATTTACAGCCGTTTGTATAATTTATACAGCTATGATAGTCAAAGTTGCCGCAATGATGAGTAGCCTAGGCCCTATGCCTTGTTGCGGATGGATTTTCAAATGTTCTTAACCTGGCGGAATCAGTCTTATACCTCGTACTTAGCGTACAATATTCGAATCGTATTCAAGTAATCCAGTTTCCTCAGACCTAAATTTGGATCCCAGAAGTTCGCACGGCATGCGCACGCCCGTCCAGGCTTGTGGCATACATAAAAGGAATAAGCGCCTCGGGCGCTAATTTTCATCGCGCGCTAATCGCACCTATTGCCGGATTGGCGCAGTGGTAGTCGCGTCTCACTTGTATGGTCGTTGACAACGGAAAAAAATTCAATGAGAAGGTCATTCGTTCAATCCGGATATTCGGCATATTTTTGCTGCTTCAAGCGTCTTTTAGCTTTACGAGGAAAGTCTGGAATTTGGGAGGGCGGGATCACATCCAACAAGCATTAATGGGGTAGTGGTAACCTGGGTCGTTGCCATATGTTAGCTATTAGGCATGTACATAGGTCAATATATAACTCGACCCGCCGGGAGTTCGATTCTCTCTTAATGCATGGACATAAAATGCGAGAGCCTTTTTTAAGCTTTAGCCGTCAACTGTCCACAACGCACAATTTTTATCATATAAGGGCTAGTTCGGCAACCATAATACGAGCGTATTATCAGCGTATTATGATTATTGATGAGATTCGTATTATTCCCACATCACACTCGTCACCGTAACCTGTGATGCGTGATTCTGTTCTAAAAGCGGAAGCCGAGCGGCCATCATCGGGATTCGGCAGCCATCACCAAGCCATCACCGGATTTGACGCGGCCTGCCAGCGCAGTACCATGCACAGTGCGCACTGCAAGCGCAGCTGGCGCACTGAATGCACTAATTGCGCACACTCTAGTTTCTATAGTATTTGAGTCTGTGTATCACAAGGATGCACATCCAAAAATATTTTAAGTCATACAACAACTGAATAAGTCGTGATTATGCTAAATATGCCCTGTCACCAATAGCCAAGTCATAGCAATTCAATGCCAATTAACTGCATACTTAGTCAGTATAGGCTCTTCTTAATCACTATTACATTAAATAAAATAATGGAATAGGCTACTGCAGATGCTCTCAGGCCATTTATTTCAGAGCGCTGGCTGCACTCAGTGCACTGGCAGGCCGCGTCAAATCCGGTGATGGCTGCCGATGATTGCCGCGCGGCTTCCGCTTTTAGAACAGACTCACGCATCACATGCATCACTGGTGACGGTGACGAGCGTGATGTGGGAATAATACGAATGCCATCAATAATCATAATACGCTCGTATTATGGTTGCCGAACTAGCCCTAACATTGATTTATCATTTTGTAGATCTCTTCTTTTGAGGATATATATTAACATTAGCAACGCTTGTATGGACGAGAGGCTCTGCATTTATCCGATGTCGTTCTTCCTCTTTCCACTGGTTATTCACGATCCACTCAATATCTATCAATTGCAAATCCAATGCAAATCCATTCATTGCATTGTATTTGTACCAGCTATATACACACGCGCCTCCATGTTACATTTATCAATTCACATTGCACAACTTTGTTCTCGCTCCAGATTCATGAGTTTCCGACTCCACAAAATCTGTCGAATTTACTCAACATCGGGCCGTAAAATCGAACCCTTGGGCTGAAGGTCGAAGAATGCCATATCAATCTCCTCAGCCAGGGTATCGAACAAGGACACCTTCATCGACTCTGTCGCCTCCCAGCCGAGCTTCTTCGCGCGTTCGGCGGTAACGCGGTGGTTGCAACCAAGCAACTTCCAACCGACTGTAACCATCGTGTCAGTTGATTTGAAATACAATATATCCATGCACGAAATTGTTAAAGAAGCTTACATTCGCCATAAAGATCAGTCACAGCCGCGGGGTAAGGCTTAGATCCACCTTCGGGGTAGACACCACGCTTATGCAAAATCTACCGAAATGGGTTAGCTTGTGCCGAAAGCTATGGATTCAAACGGCAGACTTACATCTCCAATCTTGGCAGTATATTCTTCCCAAGTAACGTGCGGGTGCTCGCTCGACAAGAAATCTTCGCCAATATTCAGAGACCAATACGCCATTAGCAAATCCGTATCACTCACAATATCCCTGCGCTCCTTCGTCTGCCTTCCCTTCGAGAGCCGCCTCGAAAATTTTGATCATTCCATTCGAGAGATCCTTGACGTGAACGAAGTTAAAGGAATTGGCACCAGGTCCCCATCTTCCAGAGTATCCGGCAAGCTTATTGGCCTCCAGGAAGAGCCGTACGCCTCCAGATGACTTGCGGTAACCTATGCAAATATTCAGGCAAGAACGTAAGGCGAGAACGCTTTGCAACTTACCTTCTCCGAGGCCGTAGACCCAGGCGGGGTACCAGATGATGGTGCGCACAGGGTTCTCCTTTCGGATGCCTGCCTCGTGAATGGGGGCGTCACAGTTAACATGGCAATTATCGGCAGGAACGCTGTGGGCGGTGAAAGTGGTATCCGTGTAACGAGGAATTTTCGCATCATCGACAGGCTCGCCGCGCGCACCGTCGCCGACGATGCATAAACCAGAGGTGTGGAAATAGATGGGAGGGTTTCCTGGATAGGCGGCTGATTGTTTCTCGAGTCCAGCGAGGACATCTATGGAAATGATGAAGTGATTGATGGTAAGATTAAGTTCTATGCGAATTGAAGTTATAATAACCAGCACTTACTATGCACGGGGACGGGATTATCTGAGCTCGCAAAGTTCATCACAATTTTGGCCTTGGACGATTGCTCGATGACAATGTCGCGGTCGGTAAAGGAGCCTTCGACAAAGCTGATATTGGAGTAGATTGCTTTGATTTTGGCTGTCTTCTCCTCAGTGATATCTCGAAGAAGCGCAACAACGTGGAACTTGTGCGACGTGCGACCAAGAAGGGCGAGAAATTGGGATCCTATACACCCAGTGACACCCAAGAAAAAGATAGTGTTCTCGCGATCAGACATTTTGGAAGATGCTTGGGTTCAGAGGAGGGGAGGGATAATCGTGAATAATAGATACGCAGTCAGTTTTTATATTGTCAGTAACCAGGCCATGCCGCCATGATTTCACACGAATTGGGTATTCTATTGAGCCCCCGCGCGCATACGCAAAAGGTTTCTGTCATGTCCCTGTATAAAAATCTCCGGACTAGCCACTAATGATTAGATTTCTCGAATTTAATCCCCTGCGCCACCAGGCGCCGAAACCTGAAGGTCGATGGCTGTAGCCAAAACAATACGTTTTACGTCTCAAGCTACATAGTAAATGGTCATGGGTGATGGGTTTTCAGCTGCTTGGGCTAAATCTTTATCGATCTTAGAGCACCTCAGCTGAGAGTTTCTGATTTGTGTGTCCTAACTGCGTCAATCCCAAGTCAATCCACTGAGGATCAGCCAACTTTCAAGGCTATAAAAAGAAGCCGACCATCGGCATTATCACAGATTATAGCATGCGAATTAGCAAAGACAATCCTTTGAAAGCCTTAACGCATTACGCTATCCGGGTGCGTGAAGCAGCGTGAAGCTCAGGATGCCCAGTTCGTACAGCATGTTCTGCGCCTAAACAATTTCCAAATAATCTAACCTTTGCAAGTACTTGCGGCACTTGTTATCGCAATCCATATCACTACGTCCATGGCCCTGCATCATCTAATTACGACATGGTAGGTAATCCTTCGGCAAAGCCTTTGTTTCCCTTGGATACTTGGTGGGTGGACTTTTGGAACTCTTTCCCTTACTACACACCTGCAGTGAACGCGGCGACGAAGCTCCACCTCAGATTATGGCCTTTTGATTCCCTATGGCCTCAAGGCGGATGGTATAGCTGCATACGATCTGAATCACCTATTTACCTTGTCAATCTTTCTTAAACCCTTGGAGACAAACCCCTGGCTGTCATTTGAAAGCAAGGCGACCTGCAGGCTGCAAGCGGTCGGCATTCAGGCCCACCACACACAGACTCTTCTCCACAACAGTAACGAAGCCTTGCAATATCTGTGAATTTGAAAACCGAAGGATGGGTGGATACACGGGTGCTCTAGGTGAGTTCGATTTTCATCGATAGTCGGGAAGCCATCAAAATTCTGAAGAAAAACGCGGTATGTGCAGGCCCCGTGGTGCTATCGATATTCGGTGCGTGTCCCCCAGAATCCTGTTGCCCCATGCCAGCGTTGACAAAGATATGTAATTATCAGTTAATACCTACGTGTCAGGAGTGGTTGGGTTTCAATATGCATTGTTCCAAGCCCTCAGTGAGTAATCAGTCTTCTCGTTCTGGACCAACGTTTGACCATGAGCTCGCATGTTTCTCTCAGGATACAAGAAATCCCTGTCTATTAGGTGTGGAATGACATGCCCATCCCATTTGAGCCCGATTTAATAGAGATTTTGCAGGTTTACTGTCCTCTCGATATATGTCATCGACGTCTTTCAGATTGTCATGTGCGTTACCCTCTTTGTAGAGATCCGAATGCCGCTTATCGTCTCTTGCTACTTCCATCAGAGCATTCTACATGATTTGGATCTACTGGTGAGCACGATAATCTACGATAATGGAGTCTGGATTCCTTGCGCTCCTCCTTATTTATTCCTTTCCCCCACTTCTTCCAGCGTCACATACTACATCGACCCTAGAGCGCTAGGCAATGGTACGTGATCGTAACGAAATTATGCATACGTTTGCCAAGCTTTTCCGTTACAATAGTCGTACTATGGATATTCACAACAATACCACTGTATAGCGCCCTCTCCAGTTTCATTGCTCATGCCTTCATGACATACAGGTCCGTCATTTCCTAATGCTTACCCCCGCCAGCAATTTTTTTACTGGGCGCCCTTCATTAGAATTTCGCTCTTCACAAAAAGAAGGTTTCCACTAGCCGCCCTAGCAGTACTTTCTTTGGCCGTTTTCCTGCTCGGCCTCGCCGTTGGGTCATATGGGATCAAACGGCGCGTTTCGATGATGCACATGTAAGTGGATGATTGATTGACCAATCAGCGCTCAGCAATTGCCAATTACACGGGCGTCTAACTAATCTGGTCCAAAAATAGCATCGCAGGCGCCTGCACCTATCGATCCCTTCTGCTCGTCTGGTTCGTAGCACGATTGATCTTAGACCTGGTCATGCTAGGTATTTGCCTCCTGGGGAATTATATAACTGAACGCGCGCTGATGAACCTTTCGTTCAGGGACTATGGCCTCCATCTATCACGGTCAAGGACAGGACTTCCTAAGCCACATACAATTGCGCACCGTTCGAATCGGTATAACTGCCATCCAATGCGGATCTTTAACAACATTGTTCTCTATCTGTATACTCGTGTCATTCCTCTCCTCTCCAAAAACAACAGCATATGTCGTCTTCCTGCTTCCAAGCGGACGACTTTACTCGAACGTGAGTTCAATCCACTTTCCAGAACCCAGAAACATCTTAAGCTAAAGTTCTGCTCATTCAGATTATACTCACAACCGTTAACTCTCTGCCCCCAAGAGAGGCTGTTCGTGCAGAAGTTCCCAG